TACGTAATATTTATAACGAATCTTTTGTAATAACTATGTAAACGTGTCAAAAAATATTTCTTTTACTAATTGACTACTTAACTGTAGGTTTTATTTGAAAGTTAAACACGGTAGCTTTGTTATAAGATACTTCTAGTCAATTTTGATGACACAACCGATTTACAGTATGGTTTTATTATAACTTAAAGGGAAAATTTTGGATCCATTTAATAAATGGATGTCTTTCAAAAATTCCAAATACGGGTAACTGTCTTAAGGCAGGGTCCACAACCTGCGGCTCGCGAGCCGCATGCGGCTCCTTTGATGCCGAGCTGCGGCTCTTCAGCTCCATGCACACATATTTATAATTATTTTAATTTATTTATAAAACTCATAAAAATATTAGTCTGCAAGACTAGGTAATGAATGATATAATAATCATTTAAAGTTTCTAATTTCTAGCAGTGCTTACTAAACTACTTTAATATGTTTTGAGCGAAACATGTTTAAGTTTTTATATGAATAAATATTATTTCATATTTTAAGCTATTTATTTTAAATGTAACATATATATATATATATATATATATATATATATATATATATATATATATATATATATATATATATATATATATATATATATATATATATATATATGTATAATCCTTCTCAGTGGCGTAGCGAGGTCGGGTGTCACCCGGTGAGGCACTTAATGGTGTCACCCTCCAGAGGCTTAACGACCCTTCCCGGCGCCCGAGGACAAACTTTCAATTTTCGATTTGTGCCCCCCCCCCCCTCTCTCCACCCTTGTCGGGATTTATCAAATTTGTTCTTAAAAGACTTAATCACTTAATTAAGTGGAATTATCATTTCTCTGTATATATTTTGCTATTTTTTGCCTTGGTGTCACCCCCTTAAATGGTGTCACCCGGTGCGGTCCGCACCCAGGGCCGGCGCTACCTATAAGGCAAACTAGGCGGTCGCCTAGGGCGCTATCCCTATGGGGGGCGCAAAAATGTGTAATTTCCAAAAGCAAAAAATACCTTATAATGAATAACTTTGATTATATTATACAAACTTTAACCTTCGGGGTAATAGACAAAGGCGTGGCGATCTATTTCGATGCCCTAGACGAACTATCAATTAAGCGCCCCATCTTCAAATTAGGCCTATATATCATAGTTATTCGCGTTGGTGAAAATACCTCCCCCCCCAACCTCCCTCACTAGCCAATATTGGGGCGCTTTTTACCAGTCACTTTGCCCTTGTATTTCGGTGCCATTAGTCAAACGATTGACGTAAAAACATTTAAATAATGCCAAGTTGCAGTCAACATTCTTTATTTCGACTGTATATAATTCAGTAATTAGCTCTATATTCTTATCTGCCGTGCCTGCCGCCCCCTTTGGAACGGCGCCCGTGCAATTTTGATTTTATAAATAGGGCTAAGTCTGATTTTCTCTCACTTTGAATTAGATATCTCGTTAGCCAGGGAGAGATTTAGATTTTCAAACTAAATTAATTGATGGCACCACAAGAACCTAAAGAGAATTAATATTCTAATACACACACATATTATATATATATATATATATATATATATATATATATATATATATATATATATATATATATATATATATATATATATATATATATATATACGCACATATATACATACATATATATATATATATATATATATATATATATATATATATATATATATCATATGATATTGGGATACGCCATTTTTGTGGGGGGGGGGGGGGGGGGGCGTTTTAATAAGTTTTGCCTAGGGCGCTAAATAACCTGGCGCCGGCACTGTTCGCGCCCCCCCCCCCCCTCGCTACGCCACTGATCATTCTTTATTACTCACCACCAGCCCCTACTTTCTCTACCCGTTACCTATTATCTTAGTAAAGTCAGTATTTAAACCAATCGATTTTGTAATGACCGACATCGTTCACGTAAGCCGCTTGTACTACAATATTTCTATTCGAGCTTCTATATTAGTACAGCACTCTTTATTTTATGAGTTCTTGAAAGTAGACGATGATAATTTACAAATTAAAGTTCACAATTTATATATTTTTAAAGGTACTATTTCTTAACTATTTAGCAGATTCTTCATCATTTCAGTGCGTAAATAAGAAGACAAACTATATAAAGCCAGTTTTTTTCATTGGATAATGTTAGATATTTCTAGTACCATAAAAATACTCATGTGATAAATTGGCGATTAACGTGTGGGTCTGTTGAGGTATACTTAGCCATGTGTCTTGAAGTTAATTAGTTATATCGTTGAAGAAATTGTAACATTACTTCCTCTATCGGCTTTCAGTTTTTCATGGTGTTTTTTTTTCGGTAATTTGAAAGTTGGTGAAGATTGGGGTGGAGGAAAGAACTAGATTATTTTCTTCTGTTAACCTACAAATGACAATTTTCCAGTACGCGCAAGTTATCAATGGCACAGTGTGGTCGGATGGTAGAGTATACGACTTCTAACCCGAAAGTCCCGAGAACGAATCCCGGGATCAATTCCGTAGAACGTCCCCGACTGGTACCTAACTCACGTTAGGGAAAGTAAAGGCGGCTGGGCATAGTGCTGACCACACTATCCCTTCATAATCCGGGGTCGCTTAAACAGGTGTACTCTACTTCACCTGTCCAGATCGGAAGGGTGCGTTACTTATTACACAGGTTAACTGGTTGCTTGAAGTGTTTCTAAAACGTACTAAAGACACGTAAACAGCTGTGCTATCGAGCGTACTCACCCAGTACATGAACGTTTGGTGCCTGCTTGATCACAATTTTTAAATTTTCAAACACATAAAACGTGGATACAATCGTATTACAATGACAAACAGGGATTCAAACCTATGCCCAATACAGCTTCAAATTACTTTTTTGTAGAGTAAAGTTGAAATTAAATGATCGTCATGCACATTTTTTTCTAGACTTCTATCATTCTGTCGAAATTCTCCATTTCATGTAAGATGTTTGACTACGAGGATGAATAGCCCCCTTGCACTGTTCATGTATAGATAGTCATAGTGCCCCTTCCTACACCACAACATAAGCGAATGGGATATGATTACTACATAGGACTAATTCGTATGTGTTTAAACCACTGAGGGAAGAATGGCCACAGCATAAGTGACACCACTGGCTATACACTATGGCATAGGTAACACCACTGGCTATACATGCCACGCTATGTGTGACACCACTGGATATATAACATAAAGTGACATCACTGGCTATACAACATAAAGTGACACCACAAGCTATACATGCCACCATTTGTGACATAACTGGCTATGCAACATTAAGTGACACCATTGGCTATACATAACATCATAGGTGACACCACTAGCTATACATAAGTAACACCACATCACCATCAGCAACACCACTCACCAAGCACCACTCACACATCATCATACAAGACATCAACGACCACACCACATCACATAAAATCACCAACATCTACAGTGAAACACAATTTTTTTTTTGTGGTAGAAAAACATGAGTGAGCATTTAGTTTGGGCTTGATTTAATTATAAATTCATGAGACTGTATGTACACAAGTGGTATATCAATAGTATGTACATAAAACATGAAAAAATTGACTTTTCAGCGAGACAATATTTTTCATTATATTAACAGTAAGGTTGTATTAATAAACAATTATTTCTGATTATTTTTTTCTCTCATAAAAATGTAACACATTGAATATATATATCATGGTGCTCAATACAGGTAAAACAATTCTAATCTTTAATTTGATTCATCAGCATTACATGTAGAATAACTTGACCACTCTCCATTAGGTCAAGGACAAATTTATTTAGCAAATATGTTAAGATATATACTTTAGAATTTCTTCAAATAGTTTTTTTTTGTCAAATAAAAAAAACCACACACAAAATAAAACAATTGAAATCAATAGAAACTGCTATTGATAAATGGAGCTCATACAAGCAGACTTCAGATCATATGACCATAAAAATATTTTTTTTTTTTAAATCTACCTACTGAAAAAAAAATAGCATCTGAGTTTTAATGGCAATCTAAAAAGTTGAAAGCTACCTTAATAGGCACACAATAAATTTTTAAATACGCAGCATTATGTAGAATGCAGCTTTAAAGTTTGGCAGTATTTTTTGCAATGTATAATTAAATTTAATATATTTAAAAAAAAAAAAAACAACAATAGAAAAAAATGAGGCGATGATCTGTTGTAGATTGGTCACATAATGCAAAGAAAAAAAAATATTAAATTCAACAAAACTTGTTTCCTTCTCACAAAAAGTTATCCTATTCCTGATTCAGGTATCATAAATTCTTATACTTTTTTCCCCCCATACATCAGATGAAATCTAAGAAATTCCAGTTTTAAATTTACATTTTATTATCTTTCGCAAATAAATTTTTCCCCCCTTAATCTCAAAACAGGTAACGTGGTTAAAAATAAACAAAGGTATATTTAGTTATTTTTGTTATACTATTCATCAAAGCTTTGAAATCCAGGAGCCTTTGGACGGACAAGCAGTCACTGCTGGAAATAGCTTTTGATTCTTTGTAAATAGATTACTGGTATCACATTGATCATTTTGATATACTTTAAAACGCTTGATTTTAAAAATTTGTATACACAAGGTTGACAACATGTTGCATAAAAATTTAAATAATGTTCAAACAGAACCGAATACAACTAGTATATTTTAAAACAATTTCTATTTAGGAATGTTTTTTTCTATCCTTATGGAACACTTACATCAAAGTCAACCATATATATATATATATATATATATATATATATATATATATATATATATATATATATATATATATATATATATATATATATATATTATCCACTCTGTCACATTGCAACTGATTTTCATCATGTTGCTACAAACTCATCTTTGTATGAATGACTTACACATTTGATAAATTATAACTTTGATGGACAATTTTATTTTAAAACCGGAATGTTTGAATTTTTGTAAAAAAAAAAAAATTCACAAAAACTTGATAAAAAACACCCCACCCCCACAGTGAAAAGTCTTTAACAAGACTGTATCTCTAGGCTGATTTAAATAATTACAACCAAAACAAATATATTTTATAATGAACACTACTTCTGCAGTTTAAAAGCAAACATTCAATCAACACAAATTAGAAAATAAAATCATACTTTTTGAAAGTCAAATAATGTAATAATATAAAACGTATCTTCACAGAAATAAAAGCAATTGCAATAAAACCACAGTACTTTTCTTTTACATTTATAATTGGCTTATGTTATTAATTTACTACTGTTGCATGATAATTGACTAATACTAATGTTTTCTACCAGCAGTATTAAAAACAGTAAAATCAATTGATAACATGCAGGGAAAAAATAAAATAAATGTATTTTTTTTACAACACAAAAAAAACGATATTTTAAAAGACAAGAGAATTGTATTAGAAATTGTCAATAAATAAGAAATTTAACTATAACAAGTCATAACACTGATCATAGTAATAATTAATTTTAAAACTATTTTCTATAAATAAATAATTTACACGTCTATGTTCCTTTCTCTTATATCATTGGGTAATATAAAATTGTTTAAAATTTATTAAAAAATAAATTGCTTGTTTTAATTTAAAAACGCTAGGAATTGTAAAAGTAAGAATAAAATTACCATGTGTATTAAAAAAATATTTCATGTTAGAAATAAATAAAATGATACACATTTTAGGGGGGAAAATATGCAAAAAAAGTGTAGATGAACTATTGGGATTAAGCCTAGACTATGATATACTGTTGCAGCCAAATTATTTTTTAGAGCCATTAAGTTCTCAATGACGAAAAAAATAAAAGAAAACATTCTCTACAAAAAAGATATAATATATCAGTGAAAATACCAGAATGTATGTATTTCTTATTTCTTGTGATAGAGAATAAAACATATATGGATTAAATTCTTTCTCCAAAAGAATAATTTAACATTAATTTACCTAAAAGTGCCCCAAATTTTTTTTACCAAAAACATTGCTCTTACTTCATAACTAAACACAGAATTTTGTCAATACAAACTAATCTGTAAAAAGATAGTTATTGAATCAATTAAAATTTTTTTTTTTTTACTAATGGCCACTGAAGGATTATTGTTTTGGCTTTTAAAGTGAAGAGTATGTAAAGATAAATAAATAAATGAATGCTTATGCCAAGTGGAGTGTGAAATTTACAATAGAACACAAAGCATAAAACACATGCAAAGGGAGATAAATGATTGTCAAATAATGATAAGAGAAGCAGTTTAAAATAAGCTACTACATGCTAAGATCAGGTGAACAGTAATCAGCAGTTCTCAATTTTATGAGGTTAAAAAACATACAAGGACAGTTGAACAAATTAAACTTCCTTTTTTTTACTAGACAAGAGCATCTGCCATGAAAGTGGTTTCCTTTTATATAAAAGGGAAATAATTCTGATACATGATAAAATACTGACAAAAATACAATTTGTATTTTGAGAACCACTGACATATTTATTGAAAAGCAATGCAGAAAGAATAATGAAATCTTGTACCCCAAAGAGCTGTGATAAGATATAGTTAAAAAAAAATAGTGGGGGATAAATAAAAAAAATTGAGTGTAAAGCAGTTAGAAACTTGCGGTGTGTGTTAAACAGTTTAAAAAAGCCATCTTTATCAAAACTTCTAGAGAAGAGTCATACAAATAAAACGCACAGAATGGGAGATTTTTATACTAATAAAGTTAATATGCAAAACAACAACAAGAAGAACCATGAAGTTAATGTATTCACATGCTCCACGCCAACCAATGACCTTCTTTGCATGCAAGTCACAAAGGTGAAGGTCATGACCATCTAGCTCGCCTGCCAAAATAAAAGAACAGCAAACATGTGTAAGATGGGGGGAATGAATGCAAGCAGTACAAACAATCATTTAAACATAATTGTTTTCAAAAAATAAAATAAAAAAACAGCAACTTAAATTTACAATAGATTTACTGGTAAATGGTAACAACCTGCGTTTAAGTTAATACTTCTTGAATAAATAAACAAGGCCCAACTGAGCTATAAAAAAAGAGTTCAAAAAGAACCAATGCATTGTAACTTATAATAAAAAAGTTTTGTTTTTTTCTTAACTTTAGGACTGATTGAAGAAGAGACAACGGAATAAGGCAAACCATTTTTAAACAAGTAAACAAAATCGTATCTATCAATGACAGGAAGGCTTGGCTGGTGTATTTTTTCAGTTTACTTTTTTGTAATGTTCCAAAATATCACTCAGAAAATAAAAAATTAAGATGATTTGTGTAATAATTTGTTTCTATTGATGTTACAATTTTTTTTTAAAGAATGACAGCTGATGAAATTTTTTTACCAAATAAATACTCGCTATTTAAACTATTTTACTGTACTTTCTAAGCCCAGACATTCAATACAACTAGCTTTCAATAACACACAACTGTTCGTTTTTCAGTCCTGAGTCTTTGCAAGTCATTAACTTATTAGATGTAAACTTATATATATATACCAGTATTTATAAACATACTTTACAATATGATATGGTCTTGTTTCTGATGTAAAAGAACCCTCAGCTAATGCTGGGAGTAAATTGCAGGGTTTTTAAAAATTATTATGGAATGTTATGAGTTTTTTTTATAAAAAATGTATATAAATAAATATACAAGAGTAAAAGGAAGTTTTGGGTTTAAATAGTTAATTTACGCTAGAATGGTCATACATCCAGTCTGAATATACAACGTGAAACACAGTCTGACAACACAACTACTTTGCTTTAAAAATTAATTCTCATGCACCATCTCATTAGCTATAAACCTCCACATACAACAATTACATCTTCCTGATAAAATAAAGGTTAAAAAATGGTTTTTAACTATTCATTGAATTAAAAAACTCAACACACAGTTAACCTGCTTAAAACTATATTAATACAGTGGTCATTTTTTTTAGAAAATTACGGCCAACAAAAAAAACAAATAAAACTTAAAATTAGTTTTGTCTTTAAGTAGAATGCACTTAAAAAATAGAATTACCGTCATTTAGAGTAAAATTATACTAATTAGCAATAAGGTTATCAGCTACTGTAAAATTTTACAATAAGAGGATGATTTAGGTAAAAAATGCTGTGATTTTTGTTTTCTACAGACAAAACCTACTTCAGTTCTAACAACATCATGCATTCAAAACTTCCATCTAAACTACAGAATTTTAAAAAAATGGAGATAAAACTACTATACACAACCATATTCATACCAAATGGCATTGGAATGGTTCGTTTGTCCTTCTTCTGTCTCTGCTTTTGTGGTGGTGCTGGGTTTGGCTTGAGTGGTTGCTTGACCAGTACTGGGTGGGGGTGGGGTCCGTTCTGGAGATGTTAGCTCCCCGACTGGCCTGGGCTGGGGGGAGGGCTGGGTCGCTGCTGGCGATGGTCGGCTGGGGGGCGGGTGGTTGTTCTGTTGAAAGTTGCTAGGGGATTTCCCCTGGGGGACCTGGGGCTGAGTTCTGGGGGTTGTCTGCTGGGGCGGGGGATTGTTGTGAGCCCCAGGGGGGCTACTGTAAGCCCCTGAGGGCCCGTTTAAGTCTGATCTCTGTGGCCCAGCTCTAGGGGCAGGCATGTTGGTTCCCCTCCCCTGTGTGACCGTGTTCAATGAATTATTTACATAGTAGCTATCATCTGGAGTGCGGGGCTGCACAGGTGTGCGGGGCTGCACAGGGGTGAACCCCCGGGGTGGAGGCTGCGGTACAGGTGCAAAACCTCTCGGCTGTGAGGGGCTCTGGGAATAATTAGATGAAGGGGAATAACCCATTGATGACTGGGTAAAATTCTGCGGTGGTCCTGAAGGTGTATCTCTAGAGTCATAACCTCCCCTGTACTGTCTAGAGTCCCCAGCATGGTTGGGTGTCAGGCCAGAGGAGTACCCCCCACTGGGGGTTGCTGGGTCCTGATACAGGGACCCAGGGCCATCTCGTCCGTCTTGCCGAGAGTGCAAGGCTGGGCTTTTACTCCTGGCGTACGTAGCATCTGGGGGTAGGGCTGTGGATGGAGTGTTGCTTGAAGGGCTCCCGAGGTTTGACAGGGAGTGGCTGGTTAAAGGACTGTTCTGGCCATAGCGGTATCTGCTCTGTGCAAGTGCTAATGCATCAGGTCGGGCCGAGGGGCTGTGGTGGCCCATGGTGTTTGGCCGCGACAGGTTGTGGTTGTTGGAATCGTACCCGGGGGTGGTATTTCTAGGCGGGTGGTCGGCCTCATGTTTAGGTGATGTCTGTGGGGGTAAGGCCTGCCTGTTGTTTAAATGTGTCTGACTGCCGTAACTCTGAGGAGAGGGGACGGGGTTCCTGACCTGCTGGTGCTGGGTGGGTGGGGACGGGTGCTGCGACTGGGGTGGTCTGGCGTTCTGCTGGTCAAAAGGACCGCTCAGCCTTGAACTTGACCTACTAGGCTCCCTAATCAAGGCCACATGGGACACATTTGACGCAGGCGTCTGAATCACATCCTTAAGGTCCCTACCATCCGGAGCCTCCCTAGACGAGTTCCTGTTTCCTTCAAATGTTTTAAAACCATCAGACTTATTAAACAGCTGTGGGGGGACTGACTTAGGCCTCTCTGCCAGTTGGGGCTGGCTATACTGCTGGCTGGAGTTATTATTAGCGTTCTGGTTACCCCCTGCCCTCGACGCCGAGGCGTCTCTCCTAACAGGCGGATTCACAGAACTGTTTCCCTGCCTCGGACGAGAATAAACGGCTTTGATAATAGGCCCAGATTGTCCCATGGCCGTGGATGGCCGAGCTCGAGGCTGCGCTCCTGGGATACCGACATGAGATCTCCTGGCTTCAGGTCTCTGGTTGTTTGACAGCTCACCGGGTTGTGTTCTGGGTATGGGGGGCGGGGCTTTGTTGCCCATCCACTGGGACCTGTCCATTGGCCCTTCTGACCTTCTTCTATCTAAACTATAACCCGCATCACGATCGGCGTCCGGGTTCGAGTTGACCCGGGGTTTGACCCAGCTGGTGTCGTTGGACTGAGCAGAGTTGTGAGGCTGGGCGTAGTGGGACAGAGCCTGGTCGCCCCTCATTAAACTATCCAGGCGATCAGCTGCCGTGAAGGGGAGCTGGGGGTCTACAGGTATACTCTGGTTCCTGGAGCTGTCTGTTGAGCTCCCTAGACTAGAGGAGTGCTGGCTGGAGGGGGCGTGCGGATGGTGGGAGGGCACGGGCTGAAAGAATGATGACGAGGACTGGGTGTGGGTCAGCGATGTTCTGGGGGAGGATGTAAAAGGTTGACTGGCGGTGCTGGAGAGTCTGTTGATGCTGGCGTACGGAGACGATTCTTGACTGGAGCTACGTCTGTCATCGTCTGATATTCGTTTTGCCACTGGCAGGCGGTTGATGCCGTCGCCTAGGCGATGGCGCTCCGAGATTTCGCCTTCTGTCCTAGCCGAAGAATTGTTATTGTTGTAATTCAACCCAGGGAAGGCGTCAGAACTAACTTTTGGGGTGGAGGTGTACACATCGTAAGGCAACGGCCCGTTGGAGGTGAAGCTGTTGTTCTCATTCCCTCCGCTGCTGATGGAGAAGTGGGAGTTCCGGGAGGTGTTGTACTCCCTGCCGGTGGGGGAGGGGAGGGTGGAGGCCGCCACGTCAGGGACATCCGGCCTGAACTGGGTCGCCAGGCTCAGCTGTTTCTGTTGCAGGGCACGGTTAAAACTTGAGTTGGAGTTCTCACTGCTTCTTGACTCGCTGTCGTTGCTTCTTCTACGTTGGATGGGGGTGTGGAGTTTGTTCTAAAAGAGAAATTTTTTTTTATTTGACATGAGACAAACTTCCTTAAAATTAAATAAAATCCAATAACTTGAAGATAATTAAAAAATATAACATATAAGTAAGAAAACAGTATAGACAAATATTTATGAAATTAATTGTTTTATAAAAAGTTGAATCTTGTTTTTCAACTAAGCTCTGAAGTAGTGCAACAGCACTCCTGTCAGTACTGTTGAGCCTCTGAGACTAACCTCATCCACTGGAATACTTCCACTACTCTGTGAGCTGTTGGCTTCCCTCAGGAACTGATCCAGTGTTATCATCTCACTACCAGGTGAGGCATTGCCTGGCACCCTCCTACCTGGGCCTGGGGTGTTGGATCTAGAGACGGAGCCGTCAACTGAATCCACGTTGTAGGGACGACCAAGACCTACATGTTACAAAATATAGCATAGTCACATGTCTACCACATGATTCTTTTATTTAAAGATTAGATTTATATAGTTGCAGGTATCATCTAATCTTTTAATACAAAAGTGATATAAAAAATAGGGAAGGAGGAAAGTGGATGGGCTAAGAAATCATAGAGAAGAATAGTAGAATAAAGAGAGCTGGGCTCACATGTGCATAGATAAGGAGAACAGTCCAAAGTAGAGTCCGGTGGAGAGGCGTGATTACAGCCCTTTGCTGACCAGGGGCCAGAAAGGAATAAGACAAGTAAATCAATTCAATATAGATATATGACAAGCACACATTATTGAACTATCAAAATATTTGTTTAACCATTAAACTTTAAAATAAAAAAATAAAAAAGAGCTAAATACTAAAACTCCATAAAGGGTGTTTCACCTAAGGTCTTCATCAGATTAAACAACAGTTACAGAAAATGTGTACACAATATTTGTTAAACTCTGGTCTAAGAGATTGCCACAAACTTGAAAACCACTGGGCTAGTTAAGATTGAACCACGTCAGCATATTTCAGCACATGGAAACCTTACCTGGAAGCAAGCTATAGTCAGCATTACATGATTCATTCACATCTTCACTGGATTTGGCTACTGAAATGTTCAAACAAAATGTGGAGTATTATATATATTTTTTTCTACCCAAAGTAAGCCAATAGAAAAAAGTGCATTCATTAATTGATAGCGGTCTCTCGTGTGTTCTTAAAACAATGTTGGAGCTCTAAACTTTCTGGCCTGAGTACAAACAACTTTTTTCTTGTCTCCCCTCAAAATACAGCCCGAAAACTAGAAAACCTTCGACAGAATAAAAAAAACTGGGCTGATATTCAGCAATGTTGATGTTTCCAGTGGAGCAAAGTCATGGTTAATTTGCTGTCAACATTTAAATGTAAAAGCTGGGGTTGGTGTGGTCAGGTCGGTAAAGCTCATGGTTGCTAAACTGAAAAGTCCAGAGTTCAATCCCCAGGTGGATGAGGATTGATAGCTGGGGACAGAAATACATCTAGGGGAGACAACTCTAAAATAAAACAACTGCTGCCTTGTAGTTGGTTCGTGGTTGGACAAAGGCTATGGAAGCAAATCCAAAAAGAAATGCTGAAATCGGAGCATAACAGGTTGTCACATAATACTTAATTGTGTTTTGGATGAAATCACGTCCAACATTAGAATTAAGAACGAAGAAGAAGAAATGTACACAACAGAAACATTCAGCAACTATAATATTCAAATGTAAACATTTTTACAACAAAGTAACCATTGTTAAGGACATTCATGCTTATGCCTACACATGCATGTTTGCAGACATTTCAAATTTTAAATAAATCCATATCAAATTTAATTAACATGTGAACTATTTAAAATATTTATCAATTTATGTGCATTTTTAAAAATAAAATAACTACATTTAAAGTATACAACATTTGAAATTTGAAATTGTTCACAACATAAAAACATTTGTTAAGGACAAACATGCTTTCACATGTATGTTTGCTGCCAAAATTAAAAAAATCCAGTTGAAATTTAACTACAATTTTTTTGTGAACAAAAGAACAACTACATAGAAAGTAAAAAACTAGGGTTGAGGTGAGCAATTGATCTGTCTGTGAAATGTGATAAAGTGCTGACTTCTAATGTGATAAAATACGGACTTCTAATGTGATAAAGTGCTGACTTCTAATGTGATAATGCTGATTTCTAAGTTGTATTTCATGCTTGCAATAAAAGTAATTTTCTTCAGTCAAGCTTGTGTTTTTAACAGATGACAACAAAAGCATGCAAGTCATGTGTAGCAGTCAATTTTTTTTTGTGTGCAGCACAAGAGAAGATTTCTTGAGAAATTATGTATGTGCAACTTATGTGCAGAATTTTAATAAAAATTTGGTTATCTTTTTTAGATAGTATTTGTGTGCGATTTTTAAAAAGAAAATAATTTTGTTAATTAATCACATTAATCTTGGGCTATTGCTTTAAAAAAACAATGTAACTTAAAGGAAAAGTTTACAAGATTTTAATCTTACAAGGATTTCTATTGATAATTTACTTTATTGTAATTTATGTGGAGCCGTGAAAAAAAAAAAGATAATCCATTCAAATCAACGTTTTAAAAATGTTTGAAAATGACAAAAGCTGTTTTTAAAATTAGCATGTGGCACACAACATAGCAGACAATGACTTCCCCATGCCAGGAAATCTCCAGCATGCAAAGTTTACCCAACTACCTCTCAGCCTCGTGGTCTCTTTCACAGGAGAGCTCAAAGCAGATTGAGATTTGGCCAGCAGTTTGCTTTGGCTGTTCAGTTTGGGACTGGCTCCGCGCACTGGCCCAACACTTTTGCTGCGCTGCACCCTTTTGTCTAGAGGGCAGGTTTTTGTTAGCGTGGAAAAACATGGTAGCTTTATTTTAACAGGTTTAAAATCGTCAGTTCAAAAGTCTTTCAAGGGTTACATAGCAAAAGATCTCATATACATTACACAATTTTGCCTGAGATATTTTATTATTTTGTCCTGTCACCTAATTTAGATAAAATCCAGTATAACCACATTGCAATGCGACTAAATGACTGTTTTAAAAACTTTATGCAATTTTGACCATAACACCAAATGAATTACCATTACAGCACATACTAGATAGAGTAGCTGTAAGTTCTAACAAATTTTATTTAACCTGGTGTGAAATCTTGGCAATATTTTAAAAAAAATTATTTTTAAGTTGTAATTAAACTATATTTTTGCAACAGAATTATTTGTAATTAGCCAATACTACGACATATATTCAATTAAAAAAAAAATTACCCAAAACACAACAAAAATAAATCAGAATGCAGTAATTTCATAACTCTGGGAACAATCAATAAGAAAGATGAATTAAACTCCTTGAACATCAAACTGAGAATGAAACACTTCATGGCAACATAAATGAAACTAACCTACAGTGTAAGTTGAGCTCAAGGACAGCTGACTTAAACTATCACCTGCGTAAGAGAGGCATTGGGGAGACTCAATGACTGTACAGAGTTTTCTGGACAACAACTTAGCACCCCAGTACACAAAAGATTGGGTCAAAATATTTCCTGACATAATGTAGCATCCCATTTCACAAGAGAGATTCAGTCAAAATATTTCCTGACATAATGTAGCATTCCATTTCACAAGAGAATTGGGTCAAAATATTTCCTGACTTTACAATGTAGCACCCCATTTCAAAATATAGATGAAGTCTAAATATTTTTTGATGTTCCATTTTAAAAATGAAAACCGCAAGTGTATGTGACTAATAAATGATAGTTTGCAGGATTGCTACTATATTAAATATAATGCACACTCAATTTCAAGTCTGGTTAAACAGTATGACTACATTACTGACCTAAATCCTTGGCCATATTACTTTTATTTAAACACAATGATGTAATTTGTTGGAGAAAGAAATGCTTTGTATTGTTGGATTTGCCATAAAGCACCCTGTCATAAAACTTCTGTTTTGAAGCTAGCCAAGTCCTAACATATCAGGGGTATGTTACTACACAAATTCAGCAAAAAATGTTGTCACAACTCACCAATTCTGCGTGCAGGGTCGCTGCTAGGGTCATTGGAACTGGAGCCATGAGAGGAGCTGTCTGCAAGATCTGACAGGTTGTTGCGGCTCTTGGTCCGCCGCGGCCCCTGGAGTTACAAGAAAATTTATTCATCAACATCATCGTCACCAAACACCACCAACAAGAAAGCAATACATTGATATCTACACAATCTACTAAAAGGATTGTGTGGTTGGGTGTTGAAGCGCCTGACTGCCGACCAGAAAGTCTATACTTTGAATACCAGGCCTGAATCCGTAGGACATCCCTAGTCCATCCACCTCTGATGGGTACTGGACTCAAATTAGGGAAAGTAAAGGCAGCCCTATGTGTCACAGAAACTGATGAACTATTTCATCTGCTGTATTGACCACCAGGTCTGAAAGGGCGTATTAACTTTTCTACTAAATAACTTAATAATAAGCCTACAGTTTTCTAAAACATTTAGCCAAAAAAAACTAGAATCAAGAAACAGAAATTACTAAGTGGAAAAAATAATAATTTACTATAACATGAATATTTAAACTTTTCATTAAGTCAGTTTAAAAAAATAAAATAAAAACAATAAAAGCAAGTAAATTTCTCACCCTTGACATAATACCACGAGCCTTGCGAGCGATTAATGCACCCAGACCTTTCCTGTGAGAAAAAAATTGTGCAAATCCATACAATAAATGTTTGAAGCAGTACAAGAACATGTAAAATACTTTAGGGAAAATCTTTTTAGGCAATAAGTTGTAATACCAATGATAATAAAATATTTTTTTAGAACAGTTTGTTTACATTATTTAAAGAAAATGTCTAAAAGTTCTCACTTTTTAGGAGAAATCCGGTTTTTATAATGCTCCATAATTTTCTCTTCCAGTCTCTCCTTCTGCCTGCGGAGTTCAGACAGCTTCTCCCTGCAAGAACCATCACATATGTAAATACACAGGGTAAAATAACAATATGACACACCATCACTAATAAACTGACCAAGACATTATTAGTATGTACTAAAAATGTCAGTTTACAACAAAATGTTTTAGTTCTGGCAGCTGATTTGGCTAAAATTATTGTAAGCTGAAAATCTTCACAATAACCATGGGGGCATCTAAAGCCAGATGATCTTAAAATACAAGCCAAGGTAACTCACAGATATGCCTATATTGGTACTATACAGGTAACTCACAGGTACACCTATATTGGTACTATACAGGTAACTCACAGGTACACCTATATTGGTACTATACAGGTAACTCACAGGTACACCTATATTGGTACTATACAGGTAACTCACAGGTACACCTATATTGGTACTATACAGGTAACTCACAGGTACACCTATATTGGTACTATACAGGTAACTCACAGGTACACCTAAATTGGTACTATACAGGTAACTCACAGGTACACCTATATTGGTACTATACAGGTAACTCACAGGTAGGCCTTCTCCTCCTCAGCAAAGTGGTCCTTGCTGTTGAGGGCCTGTGTGAGCAGGTCGTGGTTCTGGTTCAGCAGTTGTTGGATCTGGAGCAGCAGCGACTGGTTCTCATTTTCTATTCGCTCGTTGATCTGGTACACAGCCTGTTGGTCAAACAAAGCAGTTCATTAAGTGTTTCATGACTAAAAAATATGAAATACATTTTCAGTTAATAAACAATTTAGCTTAAAATATGTTTTACTTATTTGAAGGTAGTTAATTTTTTTCAGTAGAAGAAAACATAACATAACTATGATTTTATTAATACCCCCCCCCCCCATACTACTTAAAACCATTCATTATATATCTTAAAATAAACTTTGAAGTGAAATTTTACAAAACATGTGTGCTTCAGGAAACTTAATTTTATTAGTATTTATGTATCATTTAAGAATCATTTTTTTTTTACACCTTAACAAAAAATAATTAAAAGAAATTTAATCGAGTTAAGTGGATTTCTTTATCATAAGCAACATCTTTTGTTCTACTAAGTATTGACAGGATATAGCATGGGTTTCTTAAGTAGGCTTTAATAGAAGATATTGTTCAATGCTTCACCAGAAGCACTAGCGATGTGAAACATTTTTTAGCTTGTGGTTACAGAATAACATCTTTTGTTCCACTAAGTATTGACAGGATATAGCATAGGTTTCTTAAGTAGGCTTTAAAAATAGGCTGTTCAACACTCCACCAGAAGCTCTAGCAATGTGAAACACCTTTCAGCTTGTGGTTACAAAATGTCGCAACTTAAGGAGGATCATCCCATAGTTTCTGGCACTCACATCCATTTTGTTTTCCAGCTTCTGAAACTCCATGTCAGCCACAGCCATGCCCTCCTTAGCATCACTCAACTCCCCCTGTAGTTCTGTCATCTTCAGCTGAAGATTGTTGTAGTCTGTCTTAACCTGATCATTAAAATGTGAGAATCAGTTACTTTAATACAAAAATAAACAAAAAAAAATTGGAATTACTTCCCTTGATATTTGGCCTTGTACAATCGTCATAGTTATTTTGATTTAAATTTTCATTTCTTTATTTTAATAATAGTCACTACATTAAAAAAAAAAAAAGTATTATATCCGTTGATGCATAGCCATGTACCTACGTCATAATTAAGTTATTTTCATTAAAAAAATGTCTTTATTAAAATAAAGAATCACCAAAACAACATAATTATTTCCTTTGAACAATGTACAAACTTTAAAAGTTATTTTCATTAAAATGTTAATTTCTCCTAAACTATAAGAAGTGGAATGACTGAATGAGTAAATGTTTTGGTTCCTGGGAAACTGAAACAGGTTTCAGTTGGGTGTTTGTACAACAAGCCAGGTTCCACCATGATCTATAACATACCCAATGTACAAGCCATTGAACCAGACATGTAACCAGAGGCCTAGCGAGGGGGGGTGGGGGTGGAAATAGAAAGTTTGAGAGGGGGGTGGAAATTGAAAGTTTGAGGAGGGGGGGGGTTGCAAATTGAAAATTGATAGGTTGCTCCCGAGGGGGGCGCCAAATTGAAAGTTTGTCCCCGGGCGCCGGGAAGGGTCGATACACCTCTGCACGTAACCATCTTACCCTAACTGCTCTAACAGATGAAAAATGACGCTCCTCTCACAAACCACCACCTTTACCTTTTTCCCACCCTGAGGGGGTAGAGGGGTTATAAAAGACCAGACCTGTTTATGTGATGAAAGCACATCTGTGTAGTCCCTGCTGAGCTTGTCATAGGCAGCCCTCTGCTGTTGGTAGTCTTCACGCAGCCTGTTGTAGTCGGACTGAAGGTTACCCACAGAAGTTAGCTCCCTTTTTAACTGGTCTCTCTCCTTGTCCATTATCTCCCTTAGCTTGTTGACATCATCCTTGCCCTGAAGAAATTTAATGAAAGTACACTTAGTGTCTTTTCTTTTTCAAGATTTATTTAAATATAATAGTGTCACAAAGAAACACAAGAGCTACAATTCTTATATGGAATTAATCTTGAATGTAAAAAAAGTTTATGATAATGTGTTTTAGTTCTCTTATATTAAGCAAATGATTTCAAATACGATTTGATTTAGAACATGGACAAACTAATAACACCACCAAAAAATCATAATAAAAGTGGCAGGCAGGTGTTAAAACCCTAACAATAGATCACAAAAATGATAGCTGTATCTAATTAACTTACAACTATATTTGATGATTCCCTCATATCGCTTTCCATGCTTTCAATTTTTAAATCATAAAGCCAATGTTATGTTCTATATATTTATTTATCCTAATATATAAATCCCCACGTTCGCACATCTCTCTCTCTCTCTCTCTCTGTCTGTCCGCAAAAAATTTTCGCCGGACATCACGTCAGAATCGGCAGCGATATATCGAGAACTTTTTACGGACTTTTGTTGAAAATAATATGTTAGATGTTTTAAATGTATAACCACAATTTTATTTAAAGAAGAAAAATAAAAAAATAAAGGCGTATTCGAATGTAGAGAAACAGTATTATTTATGCAACCGGAAAAGCATTAATACATGTGAAAAAGAACGCATAAAACTGTGACGTCACTATTGCTTATATATTAACTAATGACGTCATCTGCCGTGTTTAGAATAAAAAGAAATGAACTATTTCATTCAAATTTGATTTAGATCTACGTACACTATGAAATGTATACAATACAATTTTTCCGGCCTAAACTCATAAAATTTATTTTATTTATTTGGATTCTAGATCTAGATATTCTAGATTCATCTATTCAAATAATACATTTCTATACTAAAGTATTTCAGGCCTTAATTACTTTATTGAAATCTTTGTTTATCTATGCAATTTGCTAATCTCTATAATATATAAAGCAAAGTTGTCGGGTGCCCGATAGGGCACTTCCCGGCGCCGCAGGCGCTTCAAATTTGGCAGGATCTTGCCTTGGGGCAACAGAACACGGGGGCTGGTTGGCCGAAAAGTCAACGATGATGGGGTCAAAGCTGACCTCGACTGACCGGCTCCTTATATGAGCTATAAATCGAAAAAAAATGTCCACGGAGGAACCTCTTCATAACTCCTGAGGTCGTAGACCGACCCTCGGGCGAATTAATTAAGCATTCAAATTCTCAATGTTTTCGAAAGCCTAAGCAAAGCTGGGCAGCATGCCTAGTATCTATATAAATGGGAATTTGAGTTTAACACTCTCTGTGGAAAAAACCCCTGGCCCATGTCACAGTATCATGACAAAATTAAACACCCACCATCAGCAGAGTATCCAGTTGATCTGACAAAGTCTTGTACTCCATTTTCAGGGACTTGTGTATGGACTTGAGCGCCCCATGCTCGGAGACGAGGGACTCATACTCCGAGGTCAGCTGGTGGTGGAGGTGCTGCAGAGACTCGTGGTCAGACACCAGGGACTGGTGCGTGCCCTGCAGGGACTCGTGCTTGTGGGAGAGGTTCTCGTAGTCCGACTCCAGGCGGGACATCTGGTTGCGCAAGACGTCCTGCTGGGAGAGGGTGGAGGAGCTCTGGGACTGGAGGGTGGTGTACTCAACCTGGACAAGAGTGTCAATTGCTATAGTCACACACAAAAAAACATGAACTCTACTTCCTCTACTCTAAGAATTCAGACAGGTTAAGGTGTTTGAAATTAAATATATATGTTTGGTCACAAAAAAAAAACATGAACTATACTTCCTCTACTCTAAGAATTAGGAGAGTGTGATGACGCAAGTTTAGGTTATAGAGGTCAAGTAGAAGATAGAAGAAAAAGAACATAGGGTAGTCAGGTAGACCAATAGAAATACAGGAGATGACCTAACTATGCTACGCTATGCTCTGTTTCTGCTATCTTCTACTTAACCTCTATAACCTAAACTTGCGTCATCACAGAGAGGTTAAGGTGCTTGATATAAAATATCCAGATGTTTGGTCACAAAAAACATGAACTCTACTTCCTCTACTCTTAGGAGTAGGTAAGGTGCTAGAAATGAAATATCCCTGACCTGGAGCTTGGCATTCTGCTCCTGTAGACTGGAGTAGAACCCCTGCAGGGTGGCATGGGTGGACTGGAGGGTGGACAGCTGGTTCTCCAGCTTGTGGCACTGTTCTGTCAGGCTGGAGTTGTTGCCCCGCAGGTTCTCTGTCTCAGCCAGCAGCCTGGCGTTCTAGAACACAGCATAAAGAACACATTACATGACATGGTATCAACACATTACATGGTATCGCAATGTTCTTACTTTGTTTCACTTCATTCATCATATATAAATTATCATGAACTGATCAAGTAACTAGATTTTTTCATTCCATTAAAATAAAAGTGCTACACAGATTTTTTTTTGTTACTTACAATTGTAATAAAAGTAACCAAATATATACAAAGGCATTCAAGAAACTGATACCAAAGTAGCCTATCCAACTGGTTACAAGTAAAAGTAAAATTCCCTTTTCAAACCTGATGGTGCATGGGGCAAGGTCACCTGTTTATGCGTACAAAGGGATAGTGTGGTCAGCACTCTGGTAACCAAGTGGTTACATACACATTCACTTACCTGTCATTAAAGATACAAGATTTAAGTAACTCTAATGTAAACAATCAACTATCGACTTACACAACGTTCAAGCTCCACCAAATGATCCTTGAGCTCAAAAATTTCTTTGGCTGGTGTAGATGTGGAATGTGTCCTTGTGTACCTGCAAAGTTTCAAAATAAAATTGCTCTTCTTACAGTTTTTACAGAAATCTTTATACAAACTATAGGACAGTGGTAAAAGATATGAAATAACAATCTCTGAAATAAGCAGGTTTTGTATGTTAAACTGTATTGGATAGCACATAAAGCTCGATAGCTGGGGAGAGCAACTCTTCTAGGAGAGACAACTCCAAAATCAAACAACTGCTGCCTTGTAGTTTGTTCTTGGGTGAACAAAGGGTATGGATGCAAATCCAAAAAGAAAAGCAGGCTGAAAACAGGTCTTATGGTGCAAAGCATGTTGACACAATAATACTTAATTTATTGACTTGTAATACTTAAATGTGTAGGAAGAAAAGCCATCCAGCAATTAATTTAAGAACAATGAAGAACTAGAGCCTGTATTAGTGCATGTCCCTATAACAGCCTCACCTATCTCTGTCATTAGACCCCGCCACATCATGCCCCGCCACCTCCTCCTCCAGCCTCTGCTTCAATGTCTCCGTCTCCCTCTTGTGTGACCTGAGCTCGTCCTGGAGCTTCATGTTCCTGTTCTTGGACTCCTCCAGCCTGAACTCCAGAGCTCGGATCTTCTCATCTTTTAGCTCACTGCTCTTCTTCAGTGTCTCTTCAATCATCACCTCCAGAGCTTTGTAACGGCTGAGAGAGAGGACACAATAGAAAGCTTAAAAATAAATTACTAAAAAACATTTTAAATGTGTGTCTTACTGTTTTCCAAATGTACTTCAAGTAGGTCACAAAAACCCAATTTACAGCACTAAGAGCTTCATTAGTCCAGTGCAATGCACCAGAATCTCAAATACACTTGAAGGCAATAAATGTTGAATGACAGCACTAGACCTTCATTAGCCCTAGTTTTAATCACCTGTAGCTCCAATACACTACAAGACAATGAACATTGAGTTACAGCACTAGAATCTACAGTAGACCCAAGATTGACTAATTTACCTGCCAAGTTTTCAACAGCACCTGCCAGACACATCTTGTTTCTTATTTATTTATTTATTTGCACTCACAGCTACAACCCAGGCATCACAAAACCCTAATATGACCATTAAAGGTCAGACAAAACTGACAAGCGATGGTCAGAAAAAAAACCTACTAAGACCACTGATGGCCAGACAAAAGTGACAAATGAAGGTCAGACAAATCTAAGACCACTAATGACCAAACATAGCAAACAGCACTGACCACTGAAGACTAGACAGACCCAACAGCACTGACCACTGAGAGCTAGACAGACCCAACAGCACTGACCACTGAAGGCTAGACAGACCCAACAGCACTGACCACTGAAGACTAGACAAACCCAACAGCACTGACCACTGAAGACTAGACAAACCCAACAGCACTGACCACTGAAGACTAGACAAACCCAACAGCACTGACCACTGAAGACTAGACAAACCCAACAGCACTGACCACTGAAGACTAGACAAACCCAACAGCACTGACCACTGAAGGACACATAAAACAAAGGCCAGTGTAAAACTACGACCCCCTAACCACAACCAAGAGCACTCACTTGGCATCATTGGTCTGCTCTGCCATGGTCAGCTTCTCTGTGTTGATGCCCACCTTCTCCAGCTCCCCAGTCAACTGCTCCAGCTCATTGCTCAGCTCCTGGGACTGGATCTTCTCGTTCACCAGGTCCTGCAATCATAACATTACCCCAGTCAATACAGGGATGGTCTATCAAAAACTTAAGTGACCTTTTGAACTTACGGTCCAAGTGAAGTAGAGTTCACCTGTATCAGTAACCTCAGCATTGGAAGGGACAGTGTCATCAATGTTCAGCACCTCCCTGTAGCAACCCTCTACCTTCCTTGAATTAACCATTTCCCCTCCCTGCACCAACCCTCTCCCCTCCCTGCACTAACCCTCTCCCCTCCCTGCACCAACCCTCTTCCCTCCCTGCATCAACCCACTCACCTCCCTGAGTGTGGCCAGTGTCCTCCTGTCTGTGTTCAACTCCTGCACCAGCTGGTTGTTCTCCCTCTCCCCCCCCCCCCCATCAACCCACTCACCTCCCTAAGTGTGGCCAGTGTCCTCCTGTCTGTGTTCAACTCCTGCACCAGCTGGTTGTTCTCCCTCTCCCCCCCCCCCCCATCAACCCACTCACCTCCCTGAGAGTGGCCAGTGTCCTCCTGTCTGTGTTCAACTCCTGCACCAGCTGGTTGTTCTCCCTCTCCCCCCCCCCCCCCCCCATCAACCCACTCACCTCCCTGAGTGTGGCCAGTGTCCTCCTGTCTGTGTTCAACTCCTGCACCAGCTGGTTGTTCTCCCTCTCCCCCCCCCCCCCCCATCAACCCACTCACCTCCCTGAGAGTGGCCAGTGTCCTCCTGTCTGTGTTCAACTCCTGCACCAGCTGGTTGTTCTCCCTCTCCCCCCACCCCCCCACATCAACCCACTCACCTCCCTGAGAGTGGCCAGTGTCCTCCTGTCTGTGTTCAACTCCTGCACCAGCTGGTTGTTCTCCCTCCCCCCCCCCCCCCACACATCAACCCACTCACCTCCCTGAGAGTGGCCAGTGTCCTCCTGTCTGTGTTCAACTCCTGCACTAGCTGGTTGTTCTCCTTCCCCCCCCCCCACCCCCCCACATCAACCCACTCACCTCCCTGAGAGTGGCCAGTGTCCTCCTGTCTGTGTTCAACTCCTGCACCAGCTGGTTGTTCTCCCTCTCCCCCCCTACATCAACCCACTCACCTCCCTGAGAGTGGCCAGTGTCCTCCTGTCTGTGTTCAACTCCTGCACCAGCTGGTTGTTCTCCCTCTCCCCCCCTACATCAACCCACTCACCTCCCTGAGAGTGGCCAGTGTCCTCCTGTCTGTGTTCAACTCCTGCACCAGCTGGTTGTTCTCCCTCTCCCCCCCCCCCCCCCACACATCAACCCACTCACCTCCCTGAGAGTGGCCAGTGTCCTCCTGTCTGTGTTCAACTCCTGCACCAGCTGGTTGTTCTCGCTCCCCCCCCCCACCCCCCTACATCAACCCACTCACCCCCCTACATCAACCCACTCACCTCCCTGAGAGTGGCCAGTGTCCTCCTGTCTGTGTTCAACTCCTGCACCAGCTGGTTGTTCTCCCTCCCCCCCCCCCTACATCAACCCACTCACCTCCCTGAGAGTGGCCAGTGTCCTCCTGTCTGTGTTCAACTCCTGCACCAGCTGGTTGTTCTCCCCCCCCCCCCCCCCCACATCAACCCACTCACCTCCCTGAGAGTGGCCAGTGTCCTCCTGTCTGTGTTCAACACCTGCACTAGCTGATTGTTCTCGCTCCCCCCCCCCACCCCCCCTACATCAACCCACTCACCCCCCTACATCAACCCACTCACCCCCCTACATCAACCCACTCACCTCCCTGCACCAACCCTCTCCCCCCCCCCTACATAAACCCACTCACCTCCCTGAGAGTGGCCAGTGTCCTCCTGTCTGTGTTCAACTCCTGCACCAGCTGGTTGTTCTCCCTCCCCCACCCCCCCACATCAACCCACTCACCTCCCTGAGAGTGGCCAGTGTCCTCCTGTCTGTGTTCAACTCCTGCACCAGCTGGTTGTTCTCCCTCTCCCCCCCCCCTGCCTCAACCCACTCACCTCCCTGAGAGTGGCCAGTGTCCTCCTGTCTGTGTTCAACTCCTGCACCAGCTGGTTGTTCTCCCTCTCCCCCCCCCCCCCACATCAACCCACTCACCTCCCTGAGAGTGGCCAGTGTCCTCCTGTCTGTGTTCAACTCCTGCACTAGCTGGTTGTTCTCCTTCCCCCCCCCCCCCCCACCCCCCCACATCAACCCACTCACCTCCCTGAGAGTGGCCAGTGTCCTCCTGTCTGTGTTCAACTCCTGCACCAGCTGGTTGTTCTCCCTCTCCCCCCCCCCCCACATCAACCCACTCACCTCCCTGAGAGTGGCCAGTGTCCTCCTGTCTGTGTTCAACTCCTGCACCAGCTGGTTGTTCTCCCTCTCCCCCCCCCCCCCCCACATCAATCCACTCACCTCCCTGAGAGTGGCCAGTGTCCTCCTGTCTGTGTTCAACTCCTGCACCAGCTGGTTGTTCTCCCTCTCCCCCCATCCTCCCTGCATCAACCCACTCACCTCCCTGAGAGTGGCCAGTGTCCTCCTGTCTGTGTTCAACTCCTGCACCAGCTGGTTGTTCTCCCTCTCCCCCCATCCTCCCTGCATCAACCCACTCACCTCCCTGAGAGTGGCCAGTGTCCTCCTGTCTGTGTTCAACTCCTGCACCAGCTGGTTGTTCTCCCTCTCCCCCCCCCCCCCCACATCAATCCACTCACCTCCCTGAGAGTGGCCAGTGTCCTCCTGTCTGTGTTCAACTCCTGCACCAGCTGGTTGTTCTCCCTCTCCCCCCATCCTCCCTGCATCAACCCACTCACCTCCCTGAGAGTGGCCAGTGTCCTCCTGTCTGTGTTCAACTCCTGCACCAGCTGGTTGTTCTCCCTCTCCCCCCACCCTCCCTGCATCAACCCACTCACCTCCCTGAGAGTGGCCAGTGTCCTCCTGTCTGTGTTCAACTCTTGCACCAGCTGGTTGTTCTCCCTCTCCCCCCACCCACATCAACCCACTCACCTCCCTGAGAGTGGCCAGTGTCCTCCTGTCTGTGTTCAACTCCTGCACCAGCTGGTTGTTCTCCCTCTCCCCCCACCCACATCAACCCACTCACCTCCCTGAGAGTGGCCAGTGTCCTCCTGTCTGTGTTCAACTCCTGCACCAGCTGATTGTTCTCCCTCTCCCCCCCCCCCTACATCAACCCACTCACCTCCCTGAGAGTGGCCAGTGTCCTCCTGTCTGTGTTCAACTCCTGCACCAGCTGGTTGTTCTCCCTCTCCCCCCCCCCCCTACATCAACCCACTCACCTCCCTGAGAGTGGCCAGTGTCCTCCTGTCTGTGTTCAACTCCTGCACCAGCTGGTTGTTCTCCCTCTCCCCCCCCCCTACATCAACCCACTCACCTCCCTGAGAGTGGCCAGTGTCCTCCTGTCTGTGTTCAACTCCTGCACCAGCTGGTTGTTCTCCCCCCCCCCTGCCTCAACCCACTCACCTCCCTGAGAGTGGCCAGTGTCCTCCTGTCTGTGTTCAACTCCTGCACCAGCTGGTTGTTCTCCCTCTCCCCCCCCCCCCACATCAACCCACTCACCTCCCTGAGAGTGGCCAGTGTCCTCCTGTCTGTGTTCAACTCCTGCACCAGCTGGTTGTTCTCCCTCTCCCCCCCCCCCCCCACATCAACCCACTCACCTCCCTGAGAGTGGCCAGTGTCCTCCTGTCTGTGTTCAACTCCTGCACCAGCTGGTTGTTCTCCCTCCCCCCCCCCCCCACATCAACCCACTCACCTCCCTGAGAGTGGCCAGTGTCCTCCTGTCTGTGTTCAACTCCTGCAACAGCTGGTTGTTCTCCCTCTCCAGCTCCTTCACCCTCCCGCACGTCTCCCTCATCTTCTCCACCGCCTTCTTCAGACCCTTGTTCTCCTGGTCAAACAGAGACAGCTTGGCATTGACCTCTTCCAGAGACGACTCTTTCAGCTCAGTGCTCTGCTTCAGTTTCCTGTCACAAAACCACAAGACCATTAAAACACAACTCCTGAATACATTCAAGAAGTTACATTTTATTTATATCATGGCTCATTATTCAAAAAAATGTAGAATGACATATCACTATAATAAGGAATAAAATTCATCAATGGCCCGTACCAATATATATATATATATAGAACATCAAGGCCCTATACTCAAATAAGTATTTTATGTACCATATGCCAAGGCAAAAAGATGGCATGTTCAAATGGCTAATTAGAAGGTCTCAAGTTTAGATCTAGCACAGGACTCAGGACAGCATGATGTCCCTGAGTACACCCAGCTCTGATGGGTACCTGACTCATGTTGGAGAAAGAAGAGGCATCTGGGCATAATGCTGACCACATCATCCCTTCATATGCCAAGTATAAGAAACATGAACTCTACTTCATCTGCCCTATGAATCATTAGGTTTGAAAGGGGAACTTGACCGTAACTTTTCAAAATTTTATGCCAAGGCTATAAGTCATGCACTATACCAAGGCATGAAGTACATCAAATATAGAACAACAATACCCTATACACATGCATAAGGCCTAGCATCAATGCCTCAAGCAAAAAACAAGGTACAGCCATGCAGTATACCAAAGCATAAAGTACACGCAACACCCAAGTCATCGGGAATAGGGCACTACCCCCCCCCCGGAGTAATTACCCCCTGTCAATTATCCCCCGCCCAGTAGGACATAACCCCCCCTTAAGGTCAGCTAGGGTTAGAGCTAGGGTTTGAGTTTGGGCTAGGTCTAGGTCTAGGGTTAGGCTTATATCAATGTTAAATCATTGGGTTTGGTTTTGGGTTAATTTTAGGGTGAGGTGAATTCTTATGTTTTTCGTCTCGGTCTTAAGGTTAGAATTAAGGTATAGAGTTGGAGTTAGAATTCTATCTTGGTGGATGGGGGGGGGGGGGGGGCGTAATGTCCTGTAGCCCGTCATCTCACCTATTCTCCTTCTCTAGAGTGGACTTGTCCTTCTGAAGCCGCTGCACCTCCGCCTCCAGCTGCGAAGTCTCCAGCTCCGCATCTTCCAGCTTCTTGGCCACCCCCTTCAGACCTTCCAGCTCCTTGCTGAGTTTCTCATTCTCCGTCTCAATGTCCATGTTGTCCTGCTCCAGTTGTTGCAGGCGTCGTGTTGTCATCTCCAGATTTTTCTGCATTCTCTGTCACAATTAGAACAAAACACATTCTCAACACACATTTTACAAAACCAATTTAACAGGCCTTCAATGTCACAATTTTATAAACACAATACACCGTCATACACATTCTACAAAACTAATTTGTTATTCAAACCTATTGCAACTTGTTAGAAATAACACATTGAAATACATTTTGTAATGCTAATATTTTAGTTACAATTCTATAAATAAAAGTATCTAGTTATAATCCAAAGACACCTAGTTAAAGAGGGGTCACTCAACATCAAGTTTACAGCAGAGGTGCTACATGGCAATCAATGAGAAGATTCAATACATATTTATGTTGTTTTATCTTTCCTCAAACTCGTTAGATTAAATATTAAACTAACACAATCCACGTATTTAAGAGATAACACTATCGAAACAATGTTTTAACAGATGACACCAGCCCTCACCTGATCAGCTCTACTTCACCTGTTCACACTAGGACAACCAGCACTCACCTGATCCTGGCAAATTCTACTTCACCAGCCCTCACCAATTCCCACCAACACAATAGCCCTCACCTGAACCTGGCAAACTCTACTTCACCTGCCCTCACCAATTCCCACCAGCCCTCACCTGATCCAGGCAAATTCGACATCACCTGCCCTCACCAATTCCCAATACACCAGCCCTGAAATGATCCTGACCAACTCTACTTCCCCCGCCCTCGTCAGCCCCTAAGGGTACACCAGCTCTCACCTGGTTTTCATTGTTGAGGTCGATGAGATCAAACTCCAGCTGTTCGTGTCTCAGTTTCTGGGTCTTCTGTCCCTCCAGGGTCTTCCTCAGCTGCTGCAGTTCTTTGTTCAGCTCATCTTTCTCTGACTCAAGGTCCACAACTCTGTCAGATTCTGTCTTCAGTGAATCAAGAGTTCTCTACAGTTGGGGAGATAAATAGTAACACTCACTAATTCAAGGAGGTTGAATGCATTCTGTGTTCAGCCCTCAGATATATCACTTACAATTATCCTAAACAATACCAGATACTTTAATTTATCAGATTCTATTGTAGGTAGTCTCAACTATATTTTGTAAAATTATGTTGATTTACTATTAGTGAGCCTATTGGGATAAAAGAAGTCCTAACAATTGCCACTGATAATTCTTTAGGCCTCTGAGACTACTTGTATTTTATTATAGATATAGAGAGAGACAGCTTTGGGTCCAAAAAATAAGTTAACAGAAAGTAATCATAAAATGTTAAGGGGATAAATACTGATTTATCTAAAACTATAGATAATGAAGGTCAAAGATCATATAAATGTTATTTTATATAATTAGAAATTAAAATGGTGTCAATTTTGTTAAAATGCTGAAACATCTGGTGTTTACCTGTAAGCATAGGGGCTTAACTATAATCATTGGCATTTACCTGTAAGCGCAGGTGCTTACCTGTAAGTGCAGGTGCTTACCTGTAAGCGCAGGTGCTTACCTGTAAGCGCTGGTGCTCCAGTGTCAGTGAGATGTGGTCCTGCTCCAGCTGCTCCCTGCGCTGCGCAGCCTGCTGTAGTGTCTCCACCATCTTCTGCATCTTGGTGTTCTCCACGCTCAGGTCAGAGTTTTCATGCTCTATGGCCTCCAGCTTCTCCAGGCAGTGGTCTAGTGTTGCCACCTGGAAATTGGGGGAGGTGTGGTGGTCTTTTATAATGAGCTTAATAAAAGTTAGAGGTCCTCCCTCTCTTGTTTTTGGGACAAAAACCCACCTTCTGACAAAAACCGACTTTCTGACACAAAAAACCCACCTTCTGATGCAGCTCAGCATTCTCCTTCTCCAGAGTCTGGTTCTCCACCTCCAGCTCCTTCACACGGTGTGAGGACTCCTGCAGCTGGTGACTAGACCTCTGCAGCTGTCTGTTGTCAAACTCCAGCTTGCTCAGCTGGGAGTTTTTGGCTGTCACCACCTCGTGCAGGCGCTTGTTCTCTCGCTCCAAGTCTTTCACCTGGGGGTGGTACAGGTTAAGACTTGACCATAAGCACAATCTTTGATAACACCACATTCAGTGTTTGACACCAAATACATCACACACACCAAGGCAGACACAACCACCATTGACAAAAACGTTCACCAAACACTCAATCTACTGCCACCACAGACAGACACCACAAACACACCAAAGACAGACACCACTGACCAGAGGCGTAGCAAAGGGGGGTGCGGACCATTCCGGGTGACACCTTTTTTTTTGGGGGGGGGGGGGGGGGGGGGTGTGACACCAAGGCAAAAAAATAGAAAAATATAGAGAAAAATGATATTCCACTTAATGAAGTGATTAATTCGAGTGTTAAATAGTGTTTTAAGAGGTGCAAATCAAAAGTTTGGGGTGGGGGGGGGTGCAAATCGAAAATAGTTTGTCCCCGGTAGGGTCGCTACGCCTCTGGGGGGGTGACACCATTAAGTGCCGCACCGGGTAACACCCGACCTCGCTACGCCACTGCCACACCAAATTAAGATACCAATGTTCACCTTGACATCATTGGTCTGTTCACACCTATCCTGTATTGTATGCAAGGCCTGAGCCAGCTGATCGTTTTCCCTCTCCAACTCTTTCACCTGCCTCTCACAGTTCTCCTTGACCGCCTCCAGAACTTTCAGGACTTTCTCCCTCTCCTCCTTAGACACACTCAGGTCACCCTCCAGCTGGATGACCTTTTCAGAGGACTCACACACGGATGTTTGGAGCTTCTCTACCTGGGCAACATTGTCATGACATGGGAGATAATGCAACTTGAAAAGGATAACTCTGGGTTACTCTAAAATCAAGGGAAGTAATAGGATATAAATATGTACCAAGGTTTAATCTTACATCAAGTGGAATAATAAAAGTATTGCCGTTATATCCTATTGAAACATTTTTTATTAGTCTTAGATCAGAACGTACAGATTTTTCAAAAACAAAATAATTAAAATAAAAATAAAAATACTTAAATATAAGATTGCCCTACTATTTCCTGCAAACAGAAACTACCAATAGTGCCAACTTAAAAAAAAAATCTCTTTCCACTGTATTAACATCTCTTCCATCTTTCTCTCTAGATAAAATGCCACTAAATATCTCCCCACTTAGCCACATCACCAGTTAGACACATTTCTTCTCTACCCCCCACCAAACCACACCTGCCCCACCAAACCAAACCTCCCCCACCCCCACTCACTTTGTTCGCCAGCCTCTTGTTCTCCTTCTCCCCCCCCCCCCCCACCAAACCACGCCTCCACCACCAAACCACGCCTCCATCACCAAACCACGCCTCCCCCACCAAAACCACACCTGCCCCACCAAACCACACCTCCCCCACTCACTTTGTTAGCCAGCCTCTTGTTCTCATTCTCCCCCCCACCAAACCACACCTCCCCCACCAAACCACACCTCCCCCACCAAACCACACCTCACCCACCAAACCACACCTCCCCCACCAAACCACACCTCCCCCACCAAACCACACCTCCCCCACCAAACCACACCTCCCCCACCAAACCACACCTCCCCCACCCCCACTCACTTTGTTAGCCAGCCTCTTGTTCTCCCCGCCCCCACACCTCCCCCACCCCTCCCCCACCAAACCACACCTCCCCCACTCACTTTGTTTGCCAGCCTCTTGTTCTCCTCCCCCCCCCAGCAAACCACACCTCCCCCACCAAACCACACCTCCCCCACCAAACCACACCACCACCCCCCCCCCCACCCCCCCCCCCCCCCTACTCACTTTGTTGGCCAGCCTCTTGTTCTCCTTCTCCAGCTCCAGGCTGACCTCAGCGCTCCTGATGAGCGCCGTCTCCTTCATCTCCGCCAGCCTGGCCACCAGCCTCTGGTTCTCCAGCTCCAGCCTCAGCACCCTGGCATGGGACGTCTCGCTCAGCTGGTCAGACAGGGACGCTGTCATGTCTGGGACAAGCATGGGGTCAGTTAGGCTGGCGCTAGACCAGTGGCAAGTGGACTTATGACTAATTAAAATGACTTGATTACCAATTTAACAAATGACAAATAACAAATTAAAATTACAAGTTACAACCAACTCGATTATCCACTAACAACTTACTTCAAACTAAAATGTGAAACAAGAATGCACTCCCAACTAAAATGTACACCACCAACTAACTCCCAACTACAATGCCCACCACCAGCTATGATCTCCCTAAAATGCCCACCACCACGACCCACAATGCTCTCAACCACCACCCATAATCACCACCACCCAACTACAATGCCCCACACTACCACCCACAATGCCCACCACCTCTACAATGTACAACATCACCACCTACAATGCCCACCCCCACCCCCAAATGCCTCTACAATGCCCACCCCCACCCCCAAATGCCTCTACAATGCCCACCCCCACCCCCAAATGCCTCTACAATGCCCACCCCCACCCCCAAATGCCTCTACAATGCCCACCACCACCCTCAATGCTCCTACAATGCCCACCACCACCCTCACTGCCCCTACAATGCCCACCACCACCCTCACTGCCCCTACAATGCCCACCACCACCCCAATGCCCCTACAATGCCCACCACCACCCTCACTGCCCCTACAATGCCCACCACCACCCTCACTGCCCCTACAATGCCCACCACCACCCCAATGCCCCTACAATGCCCACCACCACCCCTAATGCCCCTACAATGCCCCCTACTCCCACCCCCAATGCCCACCACTTACTCCCAATCCTTGATCTGGCAGCAGACAGCTCAGTCTCCAGACTAGCACTCTCACACATACTTGACTTCTTCTCAAACTCCAGCCTAGCATTCTCCTCCGTCAGATACTCTATTTTTTCACGGTCTAAATCCCTCTCCTGAAAGTTAAAAAAAAATAAATCTTAAGGTACAAAAAACAACAAAAACAAAAATCTGATTTATAAAGCCAGTACCGTTTGTTAAAAACACATTTTTGTATAAGCTGGTGTATGAATAAATTTATATTGAGGTTATTGACAATTAATATATGTACACAAAAAAACACATAAATATTATGGAGAATATATATATATATATATATATATATATATATATATATATATAAATATAAAATTTTTAAAACTGTAACCTACATGTTATACATGTAGTATCATGCTAAAAAAACAATCTGTAAAACAATATTTCAAATTAATGTTTCTCTACAAAAGGGGAAAGAACACAACAAAAAAAAAACTGACTTTTGAAAGTTCCTCCATCTGCTGCCTGTATTTCCCTAGCTCAGATTCAAGTTCTACAACTGTCTCTATCCTCTTCCTGCTGTTGGCCAGCTGGTCCTCTAGCATTGCCTTGGTTTCCTCAAGTATAGAGTTGTCTTCCTTGAGCTCCTGTATACACATACACCATATTGGTAAAAAAAAATAGAACCATCAATAAAGAGAAAAGAAAGACTGCCAAAAAAAAAATTACTGAAGTCAGCATTGACAATACTTGGTGCAATGATAAAACATAAGGATGTTCTGCTATTCTGTCTATACTAGGTGTATTTATAAAAACTAAAAGACTTACAGCAGTTCTGGCTTTGTAGAACTCTAATTCATTCAACCTCTCCTTGTACTTCAAAATTTCTTTCTCAAACAGATCTACTTTACTGGCCTAAATTAAAAATAAATATATCTATATCTACATATATCTATATCTACATATATATATATCTACATACATATATATATATATATATATATATATATATATATATATATATATATATATATATATATATATATATATACATATATATATATATATATATATATATATATATATACCCCTATACATAGATAATACATATATTGATAAATACATATACATAAAATTAGTAACATCATTAGTACTAGACTAACCATATACAATTATAGCCTACAAGGAAGTAGAGCTTGTTTAAAGTATTTCACAGTGTTACCAATCATATTTTTTTCTAACGTGATCAAAATTTACAACTTCACTTAAGAATTTTTTAAAATACAACTCATCTGGCAAATGTATATATTTTTATATTTAAGGGCATGGGCGGGTGATGAGTACCAACTTCCTTATTTCCGAGTCTAAAGATGTAATACTTGGCTAATAGTTATAACTCAAAGAGTTAAGCATAAAAATATTTTTTTTAATTTTTTAAATCTTCCGTTGCCATGGTGACGGCGGCCATATTGGATTTTATTGACGATTTTTAAATGGAAATAACTCAAAAATGGTTTGTTCAAATTTCATGAAAACTTAATATAGTCTGCAGACACATGTGTTTAAGACTTCTGATAGATTACATTTTCAAAAAAGAAAATAGTTTTTTTTTTACTTTTTTTTAAAAAACATTACTGTAAAAATTTCATTATTTTGTCTAATTTTTTCACTATTTCAACAACAGAATTTTTTTTTTTACAAAAATTCCAAAAGTGTTCTATCAGTTTTCTTTGAACATATATAAACAGTAACTGGAGCAAATTTAGTTCAGTTCTGATAATTATTAACAAAGTTATTTCAACAATTGTACAAAAAAACATCAAACTGAGAAAAACGCAAAAAACTAACAAAAAGTTGCAAAAAATGAACATTTATCGCTGTATGTCACTAAAATCGACCACATTTATAGCCTGAAGTATGGTGCTGCTGAATATATTCCTTCTGAGCTTGTTCGGCTGTTAGTTTTCTTTTTTTCTGGCGCTGTTTGTTTTACCTAGAGTTGTAGTAAAGCTGTTGTCATGGCGTCTTTTTTCGCGTCTTCACTGGGTCCTCGACTATGGTTTTCTTCTTTTGACAGCAATGCCATAGCATGCCTGGGCCCAAAATTGAATTATGCTATCACAGAAACAGCAGTATATTTTGCATGGTCTTATGTCTAAAGCCAATTATGATAAGACGTCTTTGTTTATTGTGAAAGGCCTTGTTCTGGATTCTTTTGCAGTTGTATACTTACGGTTTACAACATTTTTATTACTGCCACACCATGCTTGAAGCAAACCCTTTACACTGTTTTCATCAATAGTAGCCACTACATCACAGTGTGCGAGGAGATGTATTGATAACATCAAGAAGCAAATCACAGTCGACAATAATTCTGCATGGCTGTGGTTTACAATTAGTACTACTAGTACTAGATGTAACAGTGCTTTCTTCTGTCTGTAAAAACTGTGTCTTACATTGCCGCAGTTTCTTAGTAAATGTGCATATTACATCTGCACCAGTGCTTGTCTGAATAGTGCTAGATTTAGTAGAGGTAGCTGCAATCAGTTGCATTCGGACGAGCCCTAGCTTTAGTAAATTAGTTAGATGTGTGTATCTATTTTTAGCGAGTATTTTGTTCTACGCATTATCGAAAGAGAAACAAATTAAATCGTCTCACTGCTTATGATAATTCACACAAACTAATCTAAACTGTTAATAGTATATTTAATTGAAATAATTATATGTTAAAATAATGTAAGTATTTTACAGAAGCTTAGAGAAACAAAACTAGATCAAACTTAGCAACGCGCTGAAACTAAGGGAATGTTTACTCCCGAAGCGAAACGACCAATCGCTAACTAGCTTCCGCCGTCGTATGCCAATGAAAAAATTGAGGTCAAAAATTTGCATACCGGAAAAACCCGACTGAGTAAAATAAACAACTTTATGACGTAGAAAAATAATCACATTAAAATATGTATTTTGATTGGTCATTTAATTTTAGAACAAATAAAGAAAGGAGGTCACGGCCTTTCCATTGATATGAAACACATTAGGTTTCCGCGAAGCCTAATAGTACTTTTCTAGGTCGAAAAATTGCTATTTTTACCAAAAAATTGAACAAAAGACCATGTACACACTACATTGAACCCGGTTTTTCATAATTAAATACTGTTTTTAGGGTCATAACAATGTCATTTTTAGGTTCAACGATGGTTATTCTGTATAGATCAAGTAAAAGTGGGAAATCGATGATTTAGTGGATTTATGACGAAAAGTACACCCGCCCATGCCCTTAAGATGCTTACCTACCTAGTGTGATAACAGATAATGAGAGAAAAAATACAAAAAATTAAGTTTATCCATGTTGTCACATGACACAGAAGAGCCAATCAGAGTACTGACCTTTTCTTTGACTATATCTAACTCATCCCTCAGTGTCCTAGTAACCCTAGCCTCTTGTAGTAAGGCAGCATTCTGGATGGTGGGATGTAAGCACAAAGAATATCAGGGGAAGATGAATTACTTTGGTATTTTTTTTATTTTTTAAATTAAAATCTAAAACAAAAGATTTCTGAATTAACTTTTTTTACCCCTCCCCCATTGCTTACTGGTACATATCTTAAGTTCATTCAGTGAGTCATTAGCCATGAGAAAAGCTTTAAAGTATTTAGAGACATTTTATGGGGAAAAAAACTAAAAAAAAAATTTTTTTTAAAGTGAATTTCCCACCTCTCCAACTCAGTTTTTACTGGTTCTTAATTAAGTGAGTTAATTTAGTTAGTCTTAAATAATAATGACAACATTAAATTAAAGTGCTTAGAATTTTTTTTTTAAAATTAAAAACCTAAAACAAAAATTGTTTGAATTAACATTTAAAACACTGACCCCCTCCCTCCTCCTCAACCTTCAACCCCCGCCCCCCCCCCCCACCCCCTTATCTCAGCCACCTGATAAAAAACAAACAATGACCTCATTTTTTAACTGTGTGCATGCAGCCACTGTGTCTTGCAGTTCATCCCTAACATCAGATAATTGTTCCTGTTTGTCTTCACTGAAAATACAAAAAAAAAATTCTTCAATTTTAACCCTTGTGTCACCATTTCATAACTCTGTTAGCTGGGTCCAGAACTTAAAGGGTTAACAATGGTGTGAAGTGTACACACACTCAGATCCAATGTTTGCATCACACTGCGGTGTGCAGCTGCTGACAATTCACTCTTTTACACCATGTTGCGATAATGCAACGTGGCAGGTATTAACAAAGCAAACAATATCACAAACATGTGATGGTTTGTCGAGCAGCTGAAGGTGAGGTATTAAATTCTTGGTTAAACAAATTTATAATTTTGATATTATTCACGCAAGTCTTAATCTTATGGTTCTGTTATACATGAGCCCACCCCTTGTTTCCCCCTTTCCCCCTGGATATGCATCTCTGTTATTTATTTAACATTTTAGGAGCAACATTGCACATTTTGAACATACATATTTGACCCGCTTTCAATCATATACATAAATTTGCCACCAGCCATTTTTATTTTATATTTTATATAAAGGTTTTAGTTGTACTCATAGCTATTAAATTGTTCTCAAATAATTAAATTTTACTAGAAAATATATTCCCTTTACTAGGGAGTTCATTGATAGTTGTACATTTTATAAAATAAAACCTGTAAAATTTTCATCATTGAGCGCCCAGGCTTTTATACTTTGTCACACCAGAATATAGCTTTAGTAAGGTTACACCAAACTAATTTTATTTATTTTAATTTTTAGTGCATTTTTTCATTTGTGATTTTATTGTGATTTGTGAATATAAAAACATTTTTCCTTAAAAATTTCATTTTTTGTGTGAGATTTATTGAGAAAACACACAGCAGCTAAAAGTTCTTTTAATATCCTGCTTTGTTAGGATATGATATAAAAATATAAAATTTCAAGGTTTTTGAGAAAGCAGGATTAAATTGAAGTACCACTTCAAAATCACTCAAAATGTAATAAATTAAATTTTGTCTACCTAACTAAAACAGGTTTAAACTTATGTTGCTCACACACAAACACACATGTCCTTCTGATGAAATTACAATTCTGATTTTTTTTTCTCAATAATTTCTGAGAACGAGAAAGTTTAAAAAGAACTTCTGAAGTAAAGCCATCAGACTTACAGTTCTTGGCGTACATGTCTCAGTTTGGCCTTGCATTCTGCCAGCTCCAGCGCCAGGTGATGCTTGTCAGGTGAGAGCTGAGGTGTGTTGAGGACAGGTCGACCTTCAGACTGTGTCATGTAGTAGTCTCTCTCCAGACCCAGGTCAGCTGCAAGCTGGAAGTAGATTACATTTATCTTTAATCTTATGGGACATTTGATCTACTTATCTTTAATCTAAAGGTATATTTTATCTATTTATTTTTAATTAAAGGTATATTTTATCTATTTATTTTTAATTAAAGGTATATTTTATCTATTTATCTTGAATTTAAAGGTATATTTTATCTATTTACCTTTAATTTAAAGGTATATTTTATTTATTTACCTTTAATTTAAAGGTATATTTTATCTATTTATCTTTAATTTAAAGGTATATTTTATCTATTTATCTTTAGTATTTAACTAGATTTTATCAATTAATCTTTTATCAGTAAGTACATTGTATGTCTCAATCTTTAATCGGTAAGTATGTTTTATCTATTAATTGTAAATATTTGTTATCTATCGATCTTGATTTAATCTATTAATCTTTAATCTGTAAGTATATTTTATCCATCAATATTTAATCTGTAAGTAAATTTTATCTATCAATCATTAATGTGTAAGTAGATTTTATTTATCAATCTTTAATCTGTAAGATTATTTTATCTATTGGTCTTTAATCTAAGGTACATTTAATCTATAAATCTTGAACCCAAAAGGTATCTTTAATCTGCTGCAACAAGTAATTATATTTTACCTATTCTATTATGAGTAGCAGTCATAATTGCAATCAGGCTAATGCTTACATTTAATAAGTGATATGATCAGGGTTAGAGGTTGAAAGTAGTAGAGTTATGTTACGGTTAGGTTTAACCTATGTATACTGCAGGTTGTAAAATGGCCAGATAAACCTCTATAGAAACTACCACCAATGTTATCAAACCCAGAGTTCTTACATTTGTTTCAAAGCTTATCCAAAATACACTTTCACTATCAGAAGTTCATGAATACCCCAAAAAAAAAATTGCCACTTCATTTGTGAGCATTAAATACCTTATCTAATATCAAATCCCCCAACTTTTTAACACTACATAAATTACAGCCTTCATGTTACGCTAGTCCTAACAGAGGAATTTCACATTTTTTAAAAGTGTTATAAAAGTATTGAAATGCAAGTGTGCATGTCGCACCTCGGCACACTGGTCCCTCTCCCTGATGAGCCTGTGCAGGTGGTGCATCATCTTGTCTATGTAGGAGCCTGAGCTGCATGGGGACTCTGGTCTCTGGGTTGGCAGAACACTCTCACTGTCATCAGTTATCTAGACAGGGAGAAACAAATGGAACACAGTCATCAGTTATCTAGACAGGGAGAAACAATGGGAACACTGTCATCAGTTATCTAGACAGGGAGAAACAATTTCATCAGTTATCTAGACAGGGAGAAACAATAGGAACACTGTCATCAGTTATCTAGACAGGGAGAAACAATGAGAACACTGTCATCAGTTATCTAGACAGGGAGAAACAATAGGAACACTGTCATCAGTTATCTAGACAGGGGGAAACAATGGGAACACTGTCATCAGTTATCTAGACAGGGGGAAACAATGGGAACACTGTCATCAGTTATCTAGACAGGGGGAAACAATGAGAACACTGTCATCAGTTATCTAGACAGGGAGAAACATTGGGAACAGTCATCAGTTATCTAGACAGGGGGAAACAATGAGAACACTGTCATCAGTTATCTAGACAGGGAGAAACAATGGGAACACTGTCATCAGTTATCTATCTAGACAGGGAGAAACAATTGGAACACAGTCATCAGTTAACCAGAGAAGGAGAAGCAATTAGAAGCAATACAAGCAACAGAGCAACAAGCAGTTACCTCCTTGATGTTATCCACAATCTCAGTCTGTGCTGCTATGTCCATGGCCATGATCTTATCAATGAAAGCTTCCTTCTGTTCACACTGCACTGCACAGCCCAGGATAAGGAGTAAAGCCTTACGGATCTCCGCAAAGCTTGAGTCTGTGCAACAATTACACGTGAGAGACAGGTGCAATAGTTACAGGTGAGAGACAGGTGCATAGTTACAGGTGCAATAGTTACAGGTGAGAGACAGGTGCAATAGTTACAGGTGCAATAGTTACAGGTGAGAGACAGGTGCAATAGTTACAGGTGCAATAGTTACAGGTGAGAGACTGGTGCAACAGTTACATGAGACAGGTGCAATAGTTACAGGTAAGAGACAGGTGCAACAGTTACAGGTGCAAAAGTTACAGGTGAGAGACAGGTGCAACAGTTACATGAGACAGGTGCAATAGTTACAGGTAAGAGACAGGTGCAACAGTTACAGGAGACAGGTGGAACAGTTACAGGAGACAGGTGCAATAGTTACAGGTGACAGGTGCAACAGTTATAGGTGACAGGTGCAACAGTTTATAGGTGAGAGACAGGTGCAATAGTTACAGGTGACATATGTAACAGTTACAGGTGACAGGTGTAACAATTACAGGTGAAAGGTGTAACAGTTATAGGTGACAGGTGCAACAGTTACAGGTGACAGGTGCAACAATTACAGGTGAGAGACAGGTGCAATAGTTACAGGTGAGAGACAGGTGCAACAGTTACAGGTGACAGGTGCAACAGTTTATAGGTGAGAGACAGGTGCAATAGTTACAGGTGACATATGTAACAGTTACAGGTGACAGGTGTAACAATTACAAGTGAAAGGTGTAACAGTTATAGGTGACAGGTGCAACAGTTACAGGTGACAGGTGCAACAGTTACAGGTGACAGGTGCAATAGTTACAGGTGACAGGTGGAACAGTTACAGGTGACAGGTGCAACAGTTACAGGTGACAGGTGCAATAGTTACTGGTGAGAGACAGGTGCAACAGTTAAGAGTGACAGGTGCAATAGTTACAGGTGAGAGACAGGTGCAACAATTACAGGTGACAGGTGCAACAGTTACAGGTGAGAGACAGGTGCAACAGTTACAGGTGACAGATGCAATAGTTACAGGTAAGAGACAGGTGCAGTAGTAACAGGTAAGAGACAGGTGCAACGGTTACGGATCAGAGACCGGTGCAATAGTTACAGGTGACAGGTGCAACAGTTACAGGTGTCAGGTGCAACAGTTACAGGTGTCAGGTGCAACTGTTACAGGTGACAGGTGCAACAGTTATAGGTGAGACATGAAACAGTTACAGGTGACAGGTGCAACAGTTACAGGTGACAGGTGTAACAGTTACTGGTGACAGGTGCAACAGTTACTGGTGACAGGTGCAACATTTACGTGTGACAGGTGCAACAGTTACAGATTTCAGGTGCAACAGTTACAGGTGTCAGGTGCAACAATAACAGGTGAGAGACAGGTGCAACAATTACAGGTGAGAGACTGGTGCAAGAGATACAGTTATTAATGTTAGTTAATTTCTACCAATGCTAACAACTCTTTCCTTGTTTTTTCTTTTCTTATAAAAGAAGAGCTCGAGTCTTACTATTTTCTACAGCTGCACCTACCCTTGCTAGGCTCCCTGCTGATGGCACCAGTATTGGGGAGACGCATGACCAGCAACTGTTGTAGAACATCCTGCAGATAAAGGCACCATGGTTAGGTCAAATGGGAAAAACTACACAAATTCCCTACATTTGGAGGTTATATAAGAAGTTGTTAACAATTGTACAACAGAGGCACCATGGTAAGGTGAAATGGGGAAAAATTATTGACAATTTCTATACATAGAAATTATCAGAGTCACCAAGAAAAGTAAAAACAGTTGGGAGGAAATCCCTGCACTTGAAAGCAAATAGGGTTCACATCCAGAGTATGAACCCCCCAGGCTCAATAGCTGGGTACAGCTACCCATCTAGGAGAGGAAACTCCAAAATCAAACAGTGTATAAACCCAAACTCATAAAAAACTATGCCATACTTTCGTGTGGATGTTTATACTGCTTTAAAGTTTAGTCTAATACAAGCTGTGTAAGAGAGAAATACGCGAAAGGGGAAGTAAGTACTAGTATCCAAATGGTTCATCTATATCAACGGTAAAGCCCCTTAGCACATGAGCAGAAACTGGAAACTCCTTGTTATAAAATCTATACAGAGATCTAGGACGCTGGCTGCTAATAGAATAAATACGCTTTGACTCGCAGACGACAAAAAACTTGCTAATAGGGTAAACAAAAGTAATAAAATAACCTTTAACGTTTGCAACGAGTACGGGTTAGTATTAGTGCTTCAAATTTCTCACGAACTACAAAGCTTTATCACTAGTCACCGTACTTAAAGGGTGGGGTGGGGTGGGGGTTGTTAGAAAAACAGGAAGAGACGTACTCTCTGTGGCATTCGGTGACCTAAAGAATCATCTGTCGCATTTCATTTGAATAAAAACATGTCAATCTTAATTCTACAAAAACAGCATACTACAAAAACACCTGGTCTCCTAGAAAAGAGGGTCGTTTCACATAGCTATGACAAGCCATCACAAGCCGATGTAATAGATACAGATAAACTCTACTTTATCTGTTCAGTCAGTTCTGGAAGGGTGCCTTGTAGTAATAGATTTATCAATATTTCAAAATCAATTTGTCCGAAATGCCACTAATTTTTAAATTAATCAATTTGTAACTATGCGATAAATTAAAGCTGTTTTTTTTTAAACTGAGGAAGCCAACAATACGTCCTTTTGATATTTCACACTATGGGCCACTTACAGACGCCATTAACTCTATAATTCCAGAATAATCTATCGGAGCTCGATACGATGCCGACTATGAATAGTTCGATTATTGGTCGATAGCTTTAGAACGCCGTCCATGCGCGTTAATCTGACACTTGATCGGCCAGGTTAATTAGCCGGAAATTGCCGGCAGGGTGTCCTGCCTTCCTAATTAGAACTCGGTGACACGAGCTCAGCTCTATTGGGTACCTGTCTAGGGGAAAGTAGGGCGGCTGGACATAGTGCTGACCACAGTAAATTTTTTAATGCCCATGGGCTCAAACAACAAACGTATATTGCAATACAAGTGCCCCGACATACGAGAGTTTTTAGATACGAGCAATAGAACGAGCTATTGTTTTGCTTTGAGTTACGAGCAAAATTTGAGATACGAGAAACCGAATATAGGCGGGTTTCACAGTTCATGAAATAAAAACAGTCAGAAAAAGTTGCAACTGGTCGGGCATCGCAGCTATTTAATGACATTTGTTTACAACATTCTGAAACATGTTTTTGTTTTATACGACCTGTACGTAAAAGTTATTGAAGCGCGGCATAGACCAGAAATGGGAAAAGCAGTCACGTAAAATTAAGCGATAATAAATTATCAAGCAGCATTTAATTTCAACTGTGTTAAGTGGATTGGAGTTAAGTTCCATTAAGTTTAGGGATAAAGCGTCGCATTAACGAGAAAGGGAATTTTAAAATGACCGAAAAAGTTTAGCACTAACAATGTAGAGAGTAAGCTCTAGTCGACTGATTGCTAAATAAAAACGCTATCACACCGATAGTCTACATAGGACATTGGCCAGGATATCTTAGCCAAAGTGCCAATTGGCCGGCCAATATACGAAATACATTGTCAATTTTTAGCTCTTCGGACTTTAGCCAGTACAATTCGACCAATGTACAAAATAAGCTAAGATCTTCGGGATTTGTCCAAGAGAGCCGGTTAATGTACATTGTGGCCGGCCAATGCGTGCTTTGACCGTAAACGTGTGAGAGAGAGAGAGAGAGAGAGAGAGAGAGAGAGAGAGAGAAAGAGAGAGTGTGTGTATATATATATGTGTGTGTATATATATATATATATATATATATATATATATATATATATATATATATATATATATATATATATATATATATATATATATATATATATATATATATATGTATGTGTATGTATATGTGTATATATATATATATATATATATATATATATATATATATATATATATATATATATATATATATATATATATATATATATATATATATATATATATATATATATATATATATTACATGCTGAATTATTCAATAAGGCTGTACATATTGTCAACGTAAAGTCTCAATTCGCAATCAAATGCTAATAATTTTAAGAGTAACCAGATCAATAACCAATCCATTCAAATCGAAGTACGACTACAGTATTGACCGACATACGGGAAATATCGCGCAACGAATGACAGATTAGCCCTAGTGTTTGACAGAAGCAGACGAGCGAACACATTATCAAACGATCAAGGCGGGGTAGACTCCCCGTGTCCCCGGGGGTACGGCGGACCCAGTCCCACACGTTTCTCTTTCCCGTCAGTCTCGTCATTGATAAGTCCCGGCCGGTTGTTAGTTCCCCCCACCCATTGAAACGTCAAACAACGTTTTTCAGCCCTCGACTGATTAACTTTTAGCGAGTATCGATTGATTGCTTTCTTCCCGGCTTAAGAGGGTAGGTACGGAGTTGTTTAGGTTTAGAATAGTGTGTCGGGGATTATCAGGTAGGTAAGTAGGTAGGACCAGGGTTACAGGTGGGTGGACTGATCAAGTGCTGAGTGAGATCATTATAGAGGGGCGCATAGGTGTGTATGGGAGGTGGGTGTTTTAGATAATTATTATAAAGAGTAGTATGGGTGTAAGGTTTATATAGGGGCGCATATGTGTATATGGGAGGTGGGTGTTTTAGATAATTATTATAAAGATGAGTATGGGTGTAAGGTAGGTGGGTGTATCAGATAGTAATAGTGGAGTATAATTGGTGTTTTAGTTAATTATCGTATAGAAATGTATGGGTGAGCATGGGAGGTGTGTGTTTAGATCATTATACAGAGGTGTATGGGAGGTGGGTGTCGAGATAATTATACAGAGGTGTATATGTGTGTTCTGGGAGGTGGGTGGTTTAGAAAATTATTATACTGTCTGTAATGATTGTTGGGTGTTTTACGATACAACTGCATGAAGACTTCATACCTCAATCAAATAAAATGACAGCTTAGCGTATCCACCAACTGTGGGTATATCGTGGCAGATGAAGTAAAGTTATCTGTAATTATTTAGCAAACCGTTTTGTATTTTCCGCAGACAAGAAAATAGCTACCGATTTCGGCGGAGCCGGTATAATAAATGATGAAAAGTTGATGTATTTAGCCTAACTGTTCTTTCGGTGGGGGGGGGGGGGGGGGGAGAGAGAGAGGAGGAGAAACTATAAAAAAAAAACGTTAATCTTATATAGAGAAGATTAGGGTCCACTCTAAATAAACACTGCTGATGTTAACGTTCTGGAATCGTATTCATGTTTCAGCTCCATTTTCAATCATGAGAATTTATAACCAGCTCTTGAAGAGAAGGGGATAAATAGCTTTGTTTTGGTTTTATTTTGTTTTGGACTTGCTACTGTATCAAGTGAAACTAAGCTCATTACGTCGGTGGTTCTCAACCGTTGCTCGAGTACCCTTCAGCTTATTTGCCGTTCACCCAGAGACCCTTGTGCTGACCGTGTGTGGTACTCGGCTAGTCCACTCCACCACTCGGTACAGACTACAACAATACCAGAGTGACCATAGCAATACACCTACCCGACACGCGTCGTTACCACAATAATACACAGATGGCGCTACCACGGTATTACACGCATACACAAACACATTGCGTTATGACACATCAAAACGCACACATAGGAAACACGTTAGTTATAAAGTAGAAGTAGAGACCATTAGATGGAGGTAAATATTTTTCTTCTTAAACTAGTTGAGTAACAGCCCTTCGCATAACTTCACTTCATACAACGTATAGCATACACATCAACATTAAATGTTTATGTATCTATTCTCCACGAGTCTCTGTAACAAAGAGATCTACTTTCATGTCTTAAACAGAGCAACTGATCCGTCTCCAGAGCTACGGAACTACACTTTGCTGACCGCTGGTCAAGCTATGATCCATGCCAACTGATCGTCTCCAGAGCTCCAGAACTACACTTTGCTGACCAGTGGTCAAGCTATGGTCCATGCCAACCGATGGTCTCCAGAACTACACTTTGCTGACCGCTGGTCAAGCTAAGGTCCATGCCAACTGATGGTCTCCAGAGCTCCGGAACTACACTTTACTGACCGCTGGTCAAGCTATGGTCCATGCCAACTGATCGTCTCTACAGCTCCGGAACTACACTTTGCTGACCACTGGTCAAGCTATGCTCCATGCCAACTGATGGTCTCTAGAGCTCCAGAACTACACCTTGCTCGCCGCTGGTCAAGCTATGGTCCAACCACTCTCCTCATGAGACACTGACTTCCGCCCCAAGGTAATAAAACAATCATCGGTGTTAAAAGCCACATCACTGACAATTTGATTTTTTTTTTACATTAAATGAACCCCACGGCTGTCAACCCATTTTTTCTATATTCAATTAGCCCAGGAGTGTCAATAAAACGTTTTTGTACATTTAATGAACTGGAGCTGTCAGTTACAATTTTTTTTGTAAATTGTTACAATAACGCCATTTTTTTATTGATGTCATCGGGATTCTATAGGCCGTACACAGAAAATTTCTTCTTGCTTTTCTTTTAAAAAAAAGACTTTCTTACATGCAAGGA